TTGCAACAGTTGTTCGATTGAGGTGTTGGGAAATGAAAGTAGGGGTAGTGATGAGAGAGTACCATGATTTGGATACACTGATGCATCGAATAAGAGTTTCGATTGGGAGTCTCATAAGGACATCGATCCATATCTCTTGAGGAATGTGATCTGACATTTGTTCTTGCTGTTATTGTTCTTTGATCTAAGTTTTAGAGGAGGGACCAGAGTATGGATGTTCTCTCCTTAAACCCTCTAAAACCTTGCACCAGATGCGTGCGATTTATAAAACCCTAAATATAGGTTGGGTTTGGTTACGGGGAAAATAGAAAGATAGAGGGGGAAAAAAAGGAAAAAAAAAAGAGAGGGAAACCTTGTTTTGTTATCATTGGTAAAGACACTGCAATACCACTAAAACAAATATTTTAAATTCTTTTTCTATAAAATAAATACTATAATTAATGCGGAGGAAAAAAATATGATAGCGTTTGGTAGAGTTTTAGAATTATGATTAGAGAATAGAGTTGTATTTTGAGTTTATGAGTTTTGGAATTATGATTTGAGTGTTGAAAATTTGTTTGGTTATGAGTTTTGAATTGAGTTTGAAATTTTTGATGTGACATATGATATTTGATTCAAAAACTTATAACTTATAACCTATAACCAAACACATAACCAAAAATTCTATTCAGAACTCATTAAAAAATTTTAAAAATTCTGAAAATATTTTTTATTTAAAATATAAAAAATAACAGGTGCAAAAAAAAAACACTATTCTGGACGTTCTGGGGACGTCCGGGAGAATGACCGAGTAGACGTGTTTTCAAAGTGGGTGTGGAATTAATTTTTAAAAACTCTAACCGAACACCACACTCAAACTAAGGGGTGAAATCAACTTTCGAAAGCTGCACCAAACAAAGCCACGCCCCACCTAGACATTTAAGGACATTTAAGTTCAAAGAAGGTAAAAGCCCAAAAACGTATTAGGCCTAAAAGAAATATCAACTTGAATGAGATCCGACTCAAGCACATAGAGATAATTAAGGACAAAGATATCCTTCGAAAAGGTAGATCTTTGGAATAACAAAAATGTAAGAGATTTTAAACTTACTGGCGTATGGTACTTTTACATACGTACCGGGTACACGAAATACGTATCCAAATTTTTTCTTCTTAATTTTTGGCGTACCCAGATGTACCTGGTATATACTCAAGCCGTACTGTATCTCAGTTGAAAACAATATTTTCTTCTACTACAAAGATAAAACTCCTTTCACTAGACTTCTTTTTTATTTTTAGTTTTATACTTAGCATGATTTTAAAATTAAACTATGGTTTGTAAGTTATTTAATATATTGACATTTAATTTTGATTTATACTTTTACTTTTGGCATTAAATGTTAATTATAGGTTGGATCTTAACAAATTAAACCATTTAATTAATTTTTGCATTACTCTAAATTAAAAATAAGTATTTTTTTACAAGCATACCAAGCCGTACTCATACCCTACCTTTTTTGGATTTTATCGTATCAACGTACCCGTATTGTAGCTGTACTAGTACCAGTACTCATACCCGAACCCGTACCCGTGCTTCATAATAGGACCCACATGGTGTAGGTCCCACACCTATGTGAGATATTTGGTAGAACTCCTTGGACCTCTAGCATTACTCTTGAAATAGCGAGCGGGGATCTGTGAGTGACGCTCAAGCGGGGATTTTGCCGCTCGAGCGGGGCGACTTTTATATAAAGCCGAGATCTGACCTTTTTGTTCACTTTTTAACATCTTTTCTCTCTCTTACTTTTCCAAAAAGGTATTTTGAGAGCTTCTCTCAATAAAACCCTAACTTCTCTCTTAGGATTGATCTAGTAGGAGTTGTTTTCTCACCTTGGGCCTTTACAAAAGTTGTGTTGATCGTCGAGGGCTATCTTTTAATCTAAACATTTCGGGATTTGGAGCATTTCCGTTTCTTCATCTCCTTCGTTGGGTCCCATCATTCGAGGTAGGGATAACCTACTCCATCTTATGAACTTTGTCTTTAAATTTTGGCATTTTGATATGTTGGGGGGTTGTTGGGAAATGTTGAGAAAGTTTGGGCCTTTGTGTAATTTTACAAAAGTTGGGGTTTTAAATATATAAACCTATATGCATGTTAGGCATAGAGAAATGAGATTAATGTTGGGACATTGATGGAAATGGAACCTTAGGGTTGTTTTGTGAACAATGTCCCAACATTAATCTCATTTCTTTATGCCTAACATGCATATAATAAATGAAGAAAGCGAGAATTGAATTGAGAATGTTGAAATTGGGAATGTATGAGATTAAAGAGTGTAGACGAATCTTATTAGCTCATCTAGTTTGTAATGTTGATATATTATCCATTTGTGCATTTATTTCCTCTTAGAAATAATTGCTTTGGGCTACCGGTAGAGGGTAGTGTTGATTGCTGTAGACAATGCATGTTGATTAGGCAAACTAAAACTAATCAATTGGTTGTGTCATAGAGTATGACGGTTGATAGAATACATTAACTTTATGTATTGAGTGATTGTGTATATGACCAATGTGTTTATATGCATTATGTGTAGACGGTTGATAGAATACATTAACTTTATGTATTGATCGATGTGTATATGATTCTGTGTTATATGCATTGCTTGTATAGAGGAGGAGATGGGGGATGTACTCTGCGGTTTAGGGGAAGATGGGGGATGTACCTCTAAACCGGATAGGATTGGGAGGAGATGGGGGATGACTCCGTAACACAGCTCATATGCTTGTCTGGAGAAGTGAAGATACAGCTCATATGCTTATCTTTGTGAAGTGTAGATACAGCTCATATGCTTGTCTAGTGAAGTGTGGATACAACTAATATGCTTATCTGTTTGATGTGTAATATGCTTATCTGTTGTGGTATTGATATAGCTCATATGCTTATCTATTGGAATGTTGATATACTCATATGCTATCTGTTGTAGTAGTGAATTAGCTCATATGCTTATCTATTGAAAAGTTTGTTTGATTTGATATAGCACTAAAATGTATATCATCATGTTTGTGAAGTGTGGAAGTAGTTTATGTGTTATTGATACAACACCAAAATGTGTATCCACCGTGAATTTTGAAAATGTTCTAGTGATGAACTATAATCTCATCAAAATGTTTTGGCCAGAGTACTGAGCCTGTTTTCAAACCCAAAGTTGAACAAGAAATGAAAAGTGAATTGTAACGTAGACTTGGGTTATGGAATTGAAATAAGATGTAAATGGAAGTGTAAGTATCGACCATCTGTCAGTTGCTATCTTTAATCATTGTTCATAGTTGGTTTAGTATATCTCTACTGGGCTGTGGCTCACCCTATATGGGAACATCATTTTCAGGTACAGGTAGCATGCCACCTTAAGGACATAGCTTGGGAGGCTAGGGGCAAACGTACTTTTGTTGCCTTATTTTCCTTTTGATGTATTACATGTAAATTCAAGCCAAGGGCTTAATGTGTAACCGAGTCAATACTCTCTTTTGTAACCAAGTGTTAACTTGGAAAGCTGTAAGCCCGTAGGGCATTTACTTTTGTTGTTAACGTGTAATACTTTTATAATGAAGTACTCTGATGAATTGAGGAAATGTGGATCGTTTGTATATAAATGTATGTTTATATTGATGGGTTTAATGTTATTATTTTGAGGGCGTTACAGAGAGGACTTTTAGATTGAAACCCACTCAAACAGATAAGAATAATTGTCAAGTGCACTGAGACATAAATTGGGGCTAGTGGAAGGGAGAGTCGTCCGATCTAACCCGTCCAAAGATCACAATGAAAAGCAAGTTGGCCACTAATGCCTGACAAACATTCCAGCTATCCAATAGGATTGAATCCAACAATCAGTAGCAAAAGCAAGTGGACAACTAGCTCAACTGGCCTATGATAAAAGTAGGGCCCTCCGATCAAAAGAAGAACGTACAATCAAGATGAAAGCCAAAAAGTTATAAAAAAAAAGAAGCATGTAAAACACCAAGAACAAACCAAGGTAACCCAAAGAAACCCATTAAATACACTAAATACTAATTTCATATCATGATCGATCAGTATACTGACTTGATTATTAGAGAGTCCTCCCGATCTACTTAGGTCGGGGATGATCACTGACTTTTGATTTTTCTTACAGAGGTCAAGGAAGGAGCACGTAATCTCATTTTTTCCTATGATTTTAGTCGCCGAAAAACTTTCCTGACTAAATATTTTGGTCGCCGGATTTGTCGCGGGAAGATTGTCGGGGAAGGTATTGGCAACTAAAAAATCTTTAGTCGCCAAAAGTCTTATAAATGGCAACTAATTTTTTAGTCGCCAAAAGTAAATGTATTGGCGGCAAAAATAATCTTTAGTCACTGATTAGGATAAATTGGTGACTAATCTATTAGTCGCCAAAAGCTTTAAATTTAATTTAACATCACATTTTCAGCTACTAAAATTTTTGACGCCAAAACTTGAGGTGTCTAGGGCGACCAAAGTTTTAGTCGCAAATTTTCTTTTTTGGTTCATCTAACTTTTTTTAGCTACTAAATGTTTAGTTTCCAAAAGTCCAATTTGTTGTTTAGCTACTAAATAGTTTAGTCGTCTAAAGTCTAATTTTTTTATTTAGCTACTACAATTTTAGTCGCTTATCATATCATTTTTATGTTTTGGCGACTAAATATTTAGTCGCCAAAAGTTTTTTTCCTTTTTTTTTAAAAAAAAAAATTTGGCTACTAAATCATTAGTCACCTAAAGTCTTTTTTAAATGGCTACTGAATATTTAGTTGCCAAAAGATTTGTTTCCATTTAATTCTTTTTTAGCTACTAACTATTTAGTCACTAAAAATATTTAACACCATTTTTGGCTACCAATTGTTTAGTCGTCAACAACATAATTTTATGTTTTTTATTTTATTTTAATTAATTTGTCCACAACCTGTATATATCCTATGCAACTTGTAACATATATACAAATGAAACAATACATATATATTATCATGCATTCCACAATCTACATCTATTTCACTTACAACCATCCAAACAAGAGAATAATTTTAATGTCAACATTGCATACAAACCAAGTATATTCCAACTTACAATAATAGTTTCATACAAAACAAATAAGAGGAAATAAGTTATTCGGTATAAGTTCAGCCAACTTGCATGTAAAGAAAAAAATTGCATGTATGAAGTTGACAATATGCAGCATGATCGCATACGCAAGCAACCCAATCGAGTAGTTTGAGGATCGGTCCCCTCTTCAATCATAGCATGACATATGCAGAATTTACGAGGCCAATCATACTCTCTATCTATTACCCATTCTGAGTAAGTTCGACCTACAAAGGGACAAAACAAATATAGCTTAAGCCTCAAAGTACCCTCAGAGACACATAAATACAAATACAGAGACATCTTATCAAGCCAAAATATAAAAAAAATACAGATACAAATACATATTTCCTACTCCTATAGGAAAGCAAACTAGCCCCACACATATAACATAAGTAGCTACAAGAAGATGCTACAACTAAACCAAACCAAGCGTTAAGTCCCAACAAATGGGGTCGGCTGCAAGAAGATGCTACAATTATCAAAGAAAATTCTTTAGTACAACAACACTATAATAAAGGAATGGCAGAGGAAGTAAAATCAATAGTCTCTATGACCACAGTCAATTACAAATTTGTTCCTCTCAATATGTAGAAGGCATTTGATTGCTAGTGAAAAATATAATGCACTAGCAGCTAGACTAAATTTAATGACATTATCATAGCCCGTGAGGAACATTTGAATGAAGAAAAAGATAATAAAACATTAAAGAAACTCAACAGATTAACAATGCTTCGTATTCCAAACTGTCTTTATCTTAGATTAATCCCAAACAAGTATCACCAGGAGAATAAAAAAATTCCTGTAATAGATAATAAAATGCAGAGTAGGGACAGCACAAAATCAACTCTAAAAATCAACATCTATATTTTATGAACTTTTGTGCTTAAAAGAAGGCTTTCCAAGATTTCTTTGAATGATTGCTTTGGTCTAGTGCGTGCAAATGAAGTGAAGCTAGAATCTACAGGTTAGATTCATCTTTTAATACTATTATCCATGGTTCAACTAAAAATCTTTGCTAGCGAAAAATAATTAAATATGATTCTCACAGTGGTTGAAAATGGAGAAAATTGGAGTGTGGGACAAAGGCGTTTTTGAGTCCAACTCCCAACCTACATGTGCTAATTACATCTTGTCTATCCCCATAGGTCCTATTTGTCATGAGGAAGCTACCAGTGACATCCATAGAGTGGTTCGGGGGCTGTTTTATATTTTAACCCCCCCCAACGGCCTTTTTCGACTAAGTTTAAGGCATTTTTAACTCCAACTTCTAACCTACATGTGCTAATTACATCACGTCTATCCCCATAGGTCCTATTTGTCACAAGGAAGCTACCGGTGAAATTCCGTGTCAGCCACACAGCGGTTCAAGGGTTGTTTTATATTTTTACCCCTTTGAACGGCCTTTTTCGACTAAGTTTAAGGCGTTCTTGAGTCCAACTTCCAACCTACGTGCGCTAATTACATCCCTTCTGTCTCCACAGGTTCTATTTGTGTCTCAACATAAAAGTTAGGCATTCATTAGAATTTATTATGTATTCTGAGAAACTATAACAAATAAATTCCGGAGCCTCTATCATGGTGCAGTGTCTTTAAATTTTAGGCAACTTTCATTCCAAGTCAATTTAGTGGCTTCCTTCTTTGTCTTCTTGTTTTATGATGGCACATTATATCAGTAGTCTTTCATCAACTAAAACTGAATGTGCTCTTTATAGGTAAAAGGGCATTTATTTAAGTTTGATTATTTTAAATTTTTTGTCAATTAACTTAAATGAATGTATGTAGGTCCTAGTCTCAAAACAAGTTGGAAGGAAATTGAATTGCATTTTCAAGTCATTAAGCTCTCTTTTTATACTTTTATTTTCTTTGCTTGTTATTTTCTTTGACGTGCTTTCTTGGAGATAATGGTTTGTCGGCTAAGGTATTGGCTAGGGATTTATCAACGTGATCAAATCATTTTATTAATGTTCACGCCACAAAGTGAATATATTCCATGAATCTTCTAAGTAGTAGATAAAGAGTACAACAGTAATAGCTTCAGCTAAAGATGTTACACAAAATAGGGATTGAGTCTAAAACCACAGACCATTGAACAAGGTACGCAAGCACATTGGGTCAAATGGAGGAGTAATATGGATAAAAAAATAAAGACAAACTGAAATCCAACACAATTAAGGTCAATACCGAATGAGGACCCAAATGACATACCTGATATGGTTGGCCAGCAACTAGCAGTGAAACACCAAAAGGCCTTACATGTGTGGGATTGTCTCTTAAGATCATTTAAGCTCCGTATTGTCTCTGATGGATAAAAAGTGCCCTCTAATGTGCAATTATCAGGGAATTGTATCCTCATCACAGCCTACATAATGCAAAATGAGCAGATAAAACTTCATGTGACATTAAACCCTCATCAAATTTGCCTAAGATCAGAATATATTGTAGATGAAAGTCTACACTAGATTGCACCCAAAAAAATGAAAAAAGAAAAAGAAAATCTAAACCAGTTTTAATTTAAATTATTTTTTAAAATTCAATTATGAAGAATGATACAAGGGGGCAGAAAGGAAATTAACAAAAATAACTTAACATTGGACTCCATTACCTAGTTAATGATATTGTGCATAATCTTAGGCAGATAATCACTAGGTTCTATTTGTGTGGAAAAAATATATGTATACTACCTAATAAAGCAAACACCAAATTTAATTTGGTGTCCTAAACCCTTACAAATTTTACACCAAGCATAATTATCTTCTACTTTTGTCAAGGGATTGAGTTCTTCTTCAAATGGTTTTGGCAGAGTATCCACAGCAATAGTACATTCCTAGATATATGAAAATAGATCAAAAGACGTGAGAAAACTTTAAATCACCGGTAAGTAATATATGTGGGCAACAAAGAGGCATGCAACTGTGCCTACCTCAACCTTAACAGGCTTCTCCTTCTTTTTTTTAATAGGCTTTTCATCATCTGTTACAGTCTTTTTCCCAAGTAATGCATATAAGTTTGCATCTATGAGTTGCTATTCCAAAAGACAACAAAGAAGTGTAACAAAAAAAGATTATTGAAATACCTCAATAAGCCTCTGAAATTATATCATCTGTTAAAAACTAAGAAAATCATTTCATATCAAATATATATACTACTATACATAAATGTTACCTTGACAATCTTCAGGTCAGCCCAAGTTTGCATCTTCCGTACATGACCAAATAATTCACCAACTAAGAATATCACAACTCAATGTGTTAATTTGAATAGAAAAAATTACAAGGGAAGTGTAAACTGTTGGATTGCAAGCATCAAGAAAATATGTAAATATATGATTTGTTCAGATTCATTTGCATGTGAAAGCCCATTCTAGTATGAAAGCCCATTATTCCTTCATTCTAGTTTAAATCATAAGTACAAAATTTAATTGGTTGAGTTATTTGTTTCAAAGGAACTTTGAAGTAATAGGATTTGACAAATCATGAACACTTCCCTCCATATAAAGCACACTTAAAAATACCCTGTTCTATCCATGAGTAAATTTTTAGTTGCCTATGTGTTTCTAGACATCCTATTCTATCCATGAGTCATACCATTTATCACTAGAACCCAACTCAAAAAAGGAAGAGACTTTCCAAATTGTTGAGACCACCACTCAGCACCTCAAAAAGAGACAAAATTAATATTATAGTGAAATACAACTAAAAGAATAAAAACCTAATCAATGAATGAGTTTTTTGAAATCTATTAATTGGTCAAAATATTTATGTCTATAATAAGTGCCTTAAATATGTAAAAGGGCTACTTATCAATGTATATATATACAAAAGGGTCATACCAACTATAGCTGTAAAGAAATGGACCACATATATTAGCATCAAACCCTCTATAGGCCCATTTATTGCAGGCAAAATAAGGGTATTGGTGAAATAGCTACACGATAAGAAAAATATTAATAACAATAAAATAAATGGCTTCCCATCAATAAACTGAAAGTAAAATGTTATAATCATAAGTTGAATTAAAAGCAACTGCGTCAATGCCAGAAAGCAAATTTTACATCATTAAATACTAGAACAATCTAAATGGGTTCTTTGAAATACTAGAACAATCTAAATGGGTTCCTTCCAATACTAGAACAATCTAAATGGGTTCCATTGAAGGAATTCAAATTTAGGCCTTTAGAACATAACTGCTAAACCAAATCATTTATAGCCCCCTGAACAGGCAATGCACACAATACATTACCTTGTTCATGTTGCAAACATGTTCACCTTTTCATGTATTAAGGAATCATTTGAAAACTAACAATTAGACAAAATCCATATTCCTTTGCAATTCCTTTAGAAATGGAGGGGTAACAAAATGACTTCTATGCAAGAATGAATCATCAAAGTCTGTGATAAGGCAAAATGTAATGAAATAGTATTAGTTGGACCACTTACTGCTCTCATGTTGCACAATAAAATGGAACTGCTGAAATCACCCAAAACTATTAACTAATATTACTAACTGATGTCTACTTGTGTCCAAAAATAAAAATAAAAAAAAAAATCCTAGGCGTGCCTTTAATAACACTGGTGTACAATAAATACAATGATATAAATATCATTTTAAATTAAGGGTAAAATATTCATTACAAATTGTTAAAATTAAAAATGGGATTTCATCTCCTAATCTTCTAATTTTCCCTAATTTTCACTAGGACTTTTCACTAATTCCCCCCCGCCCTCTTTTTTTTTTTTTTTTTTTTTGATGGTATTGGTCAATAGCAAGATTGAACCCTTTGTTTGAGAATTTTTGCATGTACTTCATATATTGGTTACATAGCTCCCCCATTGAATGGTTCAGTTATAGCTTTGGAATATATAGTTCTCATATGGTGCACTTCATTGAATTTATAGTAAACACAATAAAGAAAAATATATAGAAAACATAATGTAAGCAATTGATTGTAAGCAACTCACCAAAATTAAAACCTAATGTAGTAATAAGGGCCTTATTGCAGATCACAATTGAAACTGACGAAACCACTGATAGACTCAGCGTGCCAATGGTCCCGAGCTGAAACCACTTGCTCTCAGTCATCTTCTCTCTTTCTTTTCTCCAATCACAACACCTTTATTTCAACCTAGCAACAACCCAAAAAAAAAGCCTAAATTTCACAGCAAATGAAAAAAGAAAATACGAAATAAATTACAAAAAACTTTATAACTTGTTCTAGATATGCTCGAGAAGAGCACGAATTCGAAAGTGAAACGAACTCAATTTTTCAAATTAAAACCAGACAATGAAGAAAAACAAATTAAAATCAGTACATTTCATCCATTCATTCAAAGTACTAGATCTGATCCCTAAATGAATGAATATATGGAGAGATTGGAGAGACTTACAGTTTGAGATTGATCAACAGAAGGAGAAAAAATCAGGGGCTTGTGATTACGTGTTTATGTATATCTTCAGAGCCAGTGTAACCACCAAACTACAGATATATATATATATATATATAGAAATAGTATGTATCAAATCACCATTGACAAGCAATATTTTAAGGTAAATTAGATCTCAGAAGAGCAGAGTACAGAGAGAGAGAGAGAGAGGCGAAGTGCCTGACTGGCATTTAGCAGAACTTCTAAATATATCCCATAATCGAATCAGAATTGTACTCTCCATTTTATTTATTGTATGGAACAATGAAGCATAATACAAATCATGAGTCATAATGTACACAATGATCGAATTTACCACTTGGAGCAACAAAAGTGTAGAATTAAACACAACTTAGAGCTCATATCTGCTTTAAATGTAGAAAAAGAGTAAAACCCTAAAATGATTTTATCAAAATCCTACAACATCAAAAATAAAATCAAACCCTAGATCTGCGATGGTAAGGGAAGAGAGAGAGAGAGAGAGAGAGAGAGAGAGAGAGAAACCTGAATGTAGATGAGAGGGTGGAGCCACAATGGTGACTGACAGTAGCGAGAGTTGCAATGGTTAGCGACGGTGGCTGTTAGCAGGGATGGTGAGTCTATGAGAAGAGGGAGAGCAAGTGACTGTAGGCTTTTGTTTGGGTATAGGTAGTGTAGACACTGATGGAGAGAGAGAGAGAGAAGAAAAGAAACCCTGTTCGAAAATATTGAGAAGAATTGGGCGCCAACATTTAAGGTTTCCCTCTAAAATTTTATATAGCTTTAGTGACTAAACTTGTTATTTGTCGCCAAAGGCTAATTTACAAAGACTAATTTATTTAGTAGCCAAATATTTAACTAACAACAACTAATATTTTAATTGCCAAAAGTAACCATTTTGGCGACTAAAGGTATTTTGGTCACCGAAAAGAAATATTCACTAACCAAATTTTTTGTCACCAAAGATAAAAGTAAAATTTGTACTTTCTATTTAGTGACTAATTTATTTTAGTAGGAAAAAATTACCTTACAGTGACTAAAAATATTTTAGTCACCGAAAATGCATATTTGCAGACCAAAACTTTGGTCACCAAAGTTTAATAGCAAACATTATGCTAGCTTTTTGGCGACTAAATTTATTTTAGAAGCCAAAAACTGGTATATCACGACTAACAAAAATTTTAGTAGCCTAAAACATGATCTAATGCCGACTAAAGCAATTTTTAGTCGCCTATTGTGACATATTTAGTGACTATTTTTTTTTAGTCGCCAATAATTAAGATACGGCTACTAAAAAAAAAATAGTAGCTAAAAACCATATCCAATGGCGACCAATATAATTTTTAGTCACCTATTCTACAACTTTTGGCGACTAAAAAAAATTTAGTCGCCAAAAAAAAATAAGTAAATTATCTTTAGTAACAATTAATGGTGTTTTTTAAACATTAAATCGATATTCTAAATTGGTCTCAATTTTTTCTCAAGTTAAAGAATAAAAAAAAAAAATTCAAATATAGGCACTATCAATTAATTTGCTTTTAATATAAAGAAAGAAAATTTTACTCATAAATCCTGAAAAATCTAAAAATCCCCTAGATCTTGATTTGTGATTATATATCAATTTTAAGTAGTAAATAACAAACCCAATCAAACAAACAAGACAAATCGACACAACAATTTTACGTGGAAAAACCACAATTGGAGCATCTCCAATTATGATAAAAAAAAAAAAACCATGGGAAAAAACCACAAAACAATCCACTAAAAAGATATAAAGGAATTACACAAGTGTACTCTCAATTACCTAGCGAATCCACGCCCGAATTGAACCGACCCCTATGTGCCTCTTCTAACTCCGTCTTCACCTCGAAAATGTCTTGCCCAATGTTGATTCCACAATGTCGATGTTGAATCACGACAATGAGCCACTCTAAAATCCACCGAAGCTTCAGGCTCGAATTCTCCGGAATCCACCGAAGAACAACTCTCTCTTTTGTGTTGAATGAAACAAATAAACAATCCTTTGATATATACTTCTTTAACCCTGAGTTGAATACTTAATCAAACATCAAAGAAAACTAGCAAAATAGCCCCAGATATAAACCCTAATATCCAAAAAGAAGATCTGGAAGCGTGTAACCCTAAAATCTGACTGAATAGCATATTTATAGCAAACTGGTCCGCGATGGTCGCTCGAGCGAAGGATCTCTTGCTCAACCGAGGAGACTAAAATGCGTGTTTTTCCGAGTGTCTTCGCTCAAGCCACCAAAGTGTGGCTCGAGCGAGAAAAGCATCTTCTAAGTTTGCATCTTCGCTTGAGCCACCAATTTTGCTTCTAGCTTCGAGGGCACTGCCTCTCAACCCCGTCGTGGCGCTGCCTCAAACCCGCCAAGGGGTGCTGTCCCTTGGACCCCCGTGAGCTGACTGGGCAGCTCGATCCCCGTCATAGACAGCGAAGTGGCAATCATGAAAGAAATAGCACCACAAACTCCTCTACAAAGGTACAATTCGGGTTGGATTTGCATCTAAACACTCATAGCCTCACTGAAATAAAAGAGCAAATAAAAGTACAACTGAAAGGAGTTTTGTCAAACGGGATTGCCAAGAATAAAAACCTAACAATCTCCCTCTTTGGCAATGCCGTGACAAAACACACCTAACAAATAAAATCCTAATCACCCCAACCCATTACAGCCAACAAACGCAAACTTCTTTCTTAAGATAAGACATATCACAAGATTATCTTGAAGCATAAGATGAAAATATGAATAGATTTCAATTGGAGATTTTAAGAACATGTAACATGAATAAAATGAAATCCTAAGACACAAACTTCTCCCCCTTTTGTCATGAATTTCCAAAGGAAGCTCAATCAATTAAAGCAACATCATAAAACACACAAGCAATGATATGATGATGTAAATATCAGGAGCATGCAAGAAGGAAACAATAAAGAAGCAAAGCATATTAACAGCAAAATGACTAAAATCAATCTCCCTTACTAAACAAATCAAAGTGTTCATATGAACAAACTCTTGCAATGATAAACCAAACTCTCCCTCACTAAAAGCAACCACAAACACTGCACTAGAAACAATGAACATGAAGAAAAATAATATGGCATAGCAAGCAAGGAATTTTAGATTTGTACCTTAAAACACACAAGAATATCCAAGAAACACAATTACATGAAAACACAATGTGCACAGCCTCTAGAAGATTCCTCATAAAAGAAAGTGATGCATTATGTGAAAAGTATAGATCCCATGATAAAAGTGTGTGTGTGACTCTTGGAGTTCAACAAACACAAGATTCAAATCCTAGTAGTGATCAGAAAGCTGGACCTCTGGCAAGAGAATCTAAGCACAACAAAGGAAAGTCAAACCACTAGGAATCAAGAGGTATTTGGTGAGTAAAAACGAAAGCTCCCCCTTAACTAATGAATCTTTTTCTTTCCTTTTTTTTCATATTTTTTTTTCTTTTCTTTCTTTTGCACATTTTTTTTTTCTTTTCTTTCTTGTGCACATTTTTTTCTTTCTTTTGCACACTCATTGGCGGCTGACACGCTCAGGAGTATGGAAACCAAACCAGAGAAGCATGGATACAAAAAGGATAGCCTGGTTGGTGACTCTGGGGTAGCCTTTTCCTCATGGTTGGACTACAAAGAATTGAGGGGAAAACCATGGAGGTGCAAAAAGATGGAAGGTGGTTAAGAGACTCAACATCACTCATGATATGCTAGTATAGGTCAATTCCTCTAGAAAGCAAAAGATACAATGCCAGAAGTCCAAAGAGAAAAAAGATCACAAAGGCAGAAGATTCCGATATTTGCTAATCCAAGAGTGTGTACATAATGAGACATACTAATCAAAGAACACACATTTCGAAATGAGTAATGACCATAGAAAGCACACACATATTAACATGTAATGGCTATTCTTATCAATTCCAATACGCCACAAGAACTTCTCAAAAATTTCAAGCTTGCAAAATCATACTAAGAAAATTTTTTGGATTTTTTTTTCCTAAAATAAAGCAAGACAAAAAATGAACAAGCACACACATTTTTTTTTTTTAAACACAGCATGACAGAAAAATGAACAGGCACATATTAAATGACTCAAAAAGAAAAAAAAAACACACAGAAACCCAAAAACTAAAACGAATAAACAAATTAACACAAGTCAAGTTTTCTCACCCAAACCGTTTTAGTATGAACAAGGTCATGAGAATTGTAGTTCTTGAGTGGTGTCTTGACGTTGTGGTTCCCTTCCCTTTCAATGGGAACCCGTTGCGACTTGGTTTCCAACCTCTTACTCCAAGGTCTAAACAAATGCAAACTCGCTTCATGTTTGGTCTCAAACAAATCAAAATAACGAGGTCTAATATGACCCTTAACCTCATTACCACCAATGAAGTGTCTCTTACCCCACGAGATGTTGAAATTTCTTCCATCTGTATGAGACACTCTTCCATGAAACTCATAACAAATTGGGCGAATATGACCATACATACCACAATGATGACAAATAAAAACAGGGTGAACAGGGTGTACCTTCTTTTCTTTGACCTTACCAACTCTAGGAAGATTGAGAAGTCTTTCCTCTCGTTGAATCTTGTGCTCCCCATGCCCTTGAGTTCTTGTATCATGAGATGTGGATGCACTCTGTTTTTGCTCTTTCTTACCACCAAAGCCAATGCCACTCTTGTCAAAACAAATTTGTTGAGACCTAATGATATTGTCCAAAGTCTTTGATCCTTTGTTTCAAAGACCAATGGTTGTCATAGCACACTTGAGCTCTTCCACTTTCTTGATGATTAGTTCTTCCAAAGCAACTTGAGACATCTCGAAAGATTCAATCTTTTCTTCATATGTGGCATAGATTTGTTATATCTCATTCCTCTCTGTCTCACAAGTCAAGAGTTTTGCACAAAGAGCTTATTAATCACTAGAAATCTTAATGGCATCATTCCTAGCCTCGGAAACCTCCTTCTTTAATTTGACATTCTCACTTTCATATGCTTTGAGTTTCGTGGTGAGTTTGTTATTCAATTTGGATAAGTTAAAAGATTTCTTATACAACTTTTCATAAGCTTGCTCAAGCTCTTCATCATCACTCTCCGAGGATTCATCATCATTGGCATTCTCAACTGGCCTCTTCGGATACTCTATTCGTCCTTCAGTTTCGGAAGCTGCCATGAAAGTAAGGAATTATTCATGTCCCTCTTCGCCTTGATCTTCACTATGACTTTCATATTTATCAGTTTCTGATTCATCATCTCAAATGATAGCGAAAGCTTTCTTCTTCCTCAAACGAGTAGGGCATTCGTGAGCAAAGTGGCCAAATCCTTGGAATTCATAGCATTGGACTCTTCTAGAGTTCCCTTGTATTTTTCCTTTCTTCTTCTGGGTTATAGAATTAATTTTGAATTTATCTTTGCCTTTGGATTTATGAGTTGATTCCAAAATATTAGAATTCTCTTT